TCAACTTTTTTCTGCAGATATTTCTTGACAGCATAGCTTGGTCAGCTTGGGTAAGAACTTCAATTAACATTATACTGACTAGTTTTGCTGGCTATAGGGAAGTCTCACTAGATTTCTCGATGAATAAATAGGTACCTTACGCTTCTGCTTCCCTGGGTTTTTTCTTATCCTGGGCCGCGCCTAATGTGAGTTGCTAAACTCCCTCCCATATCGTGAATGTTTATATCTTTTTTTAAATTCGTGATCGTAAATATGTGAACTCTATCACTGCAGCTACGAAGCTTGGTTTCCAAACAATCAGGGCCACATGAACAGGTAAAATTTCTCAACTACATACTGAATTTCGATGTGGGACACTGGGGTCCGAGCCGTTCAATCAAGATATTCTCTGTTTTGCCTTGTCATTTTTGTAGGGTATTGCTCAAGGATGCATTTTGGGCATAACATCACTGGGCAGTCTTTTATCCCCTATTGTTTACAGTCCTCTATCAGGTGATCTAACAACTCTAATTTTAATTTTGTTTCATCTAATTTTAATTTTAATATATTATCCCCTTATGTTGTTATGTATTTTCCCTTTTCTCAAGCTTTGTTTTTGGCCGAGGATGCACCATTTCATTTCCCGGGCTTTAGTATCTTCTGCGTAGGACTCGCTTATGTAAGTAACTTATTATATAATCAATTATTGACTAAACCGAACATGGCTAACTGCATAGTGTCGGTTCACAGCTGATAGGTTCGATTCTCAGTGTATTTATAAAGATCCACATCGGTAGAAGAAGCAGAGTTTGAAGATGGGAGCGAAGGCAGGAGCTTCGATTTATCATTCTAAATAATCAATCCTTATCAGAAAACATATATATACATATGAAAGAGTTGAAATGAGAATTTCTCTGTAAGAACTAAGAACTCATCTTATCCTTAAATAAACTAATATTAATGGTTGTGATTGAACTTAGTATATTAACATAAATTGAATAACCTTGCCAAAAAAGAAAAAACATAAATTGAATAAAATTCTATGAATAATGTGTCAGCCACTAAGTCAACAATTGCAGCAGCCCATTTTTATTAAAATATGGAGCAGCATTTTGTGGAAAAATTGCAGCACAATTTTATAGAAAAAAGGGTAGATCTCCCCTCTATAAATAGAGGGGAATTCTGAAGAAACAAAACACACCAACACAAGAGAGAAAGAGGAAAAAAAAAAAAAGTAAACAAGAAGCAGAAAATTTTAGCTTCTGTGTACATTTGTATTGTGAGTTGTAAGTGAGTTTGCGAGTGTTTTGTAAACACGAGTGTTTTCTTTTCTCCTAATAAAATATCTGCAGTAGTCCGGAGACGTAGGCATTATTAGCCGAACTCCGTTATCAAATTGGTGTGTCCAATTTTTCTTTTTTATTTCACTTTTATAGATCCGACTTCATGGAATTTTCAGCGTATTTTTCCCAACAACTGGTATCAGAGCGAGATTGTTAATTCTGTAATTTTTTGTGTGGGTTACTATTATGTGAATAGTGAAAAAGGGGAATAGTGTCAAATTTGTCGGCGCTACAAATTTATCTACCGACATGTTCTGAAACACGGTAGTTCATAAAAATTACAGAAACGATCCGGCAGAGAAGTCAGATCAGAGTCGAAGTGATGGCTGCAGACGAAGAAAAAATGAAAATTGAAAAGTTCGATGGTGCGGACTTTGGCTTTTGGAAGATGCAGATCGAGGATTAACTGTACCAAAAGAATATGTATCAACCACTCACGGGAAAGAAGCCAGAGGACATGAAGGAGGAAGAATGGAGTCTCCTTGACAGACAAGCCCTTGGAGCCATTCGGCTGACGTTATCCCGTAATATTGCTTTTAACATTGCAAAAGAAAAGACGACAGCAGGCCTCATGAAGGCTCTTTCCAACATGTACGAGAAACCATCAGCTTCAAATAAAGTTCATTTGATGAGGCGATTGTTCAACCTGCGGATGACCGAAAGTGCTCCGGTGGCACATCATCTCAATGAACTCAACACCGTTACAACCCAGTTGAGTTCAGTTGGGATCGAGTTCGATGATGAAGTACGGGCTTTAATACTTTTGTCTTCCCTACCAGAAAGTTGGAATGCTACAGTCACGGCTGTGAGTAGCTCATCGGGAAGCAATAAGTTGAGATTTGATGATGTCCAAAATTTGGTTCTCTGTGAAGAGATCTGACGGAGGGAGTTGGGTGAACCATCAACCTCTTCTGTATTGCATACATAGTCGAGAGGAAGAAGTTCAACCAAAGAAAGCAGACATATCAAATCAAAGGGAAGAAGATCCAGGTCCAGAAATCATCGTAGTTCCCAAAACTCGAAGTCGATCGAGTGCTGGAATTGTGTGAAGACCGGGCACTATAGAAATCAGTGCAAGAGTGCACCGAAGGGTCAGAAGAAGAGGCAAATATTGCTTCAACCTCTCGAGACAAAAGAAGAGGCAAATATTGCTTCAGGGGACAAAAGAAGAGGCAAATATTGCTTCAACCTCTGGAGGAGATTCGCTGATATGTTCTTTGGAGAATAGAGAAGAGTCTTGGGTGTTAGACTCTGGAGCATCCTTTCATGCTACATCACAGAATGACCTATTCGAGAATTATGTTCTTGGCAATCTCGGTAAAGTTTATCTTGGTAATGAGCAATCATGTGAGGTTGTCAGCAAAGGTGCAATAAAAATCAAGTTGAACGGGTCTGTTTGGGAATTGAAAAATGTCAGACATATTCCCGACCTGACGAAGAATTTAATCTCCGTAGGCCAGCTAGCTAGTGAATGCTACACGACAATCTTCCATGGTGATGATTGGAAGATTTCAAAGGGTGCGATGACAATTGCTCGAGGCAAAAAGAGTGGTACTCTTTACAAGACCAAAGGAGCATGTCATCTGATTGCAGTTGCAAAAAATAAAAGTCCCAATCTATGGCACCAAAGACTTGGGCATATGAGTGAAAAAAGGATGAAGATCATTCACTCAAAAAGAAAATTACCAGGCCACCAGTCAATAGAAATTGACATGTGTGAAGGCTGTATACTTGGAAAGCAGAAGAGGGTCAGCTTTCAGACAAGTAGAAGAACCCCAAAGAAGGAGAAGCTTGATCTCGTCCACTCCGATGTTTGGGGTCCAACGATTGTCCCATCCGTTGGTGGGAAGCAATACTTCGTGACTTTTATCGATGATCACTCCAGAAAGGTATGGTTTACTTTCTGAAACACAAGTCAGAAGTATTTGAAGCTTTCAAGATTTGGAAAGCTATGGTGGAGAATGAGACATGCTTGAAGATCAAGAAGCTCAGATTCGATAATGGTGGTGAATACGTAACCACCAGATTCAAGAAGTTTTGCTATGAGCACGAGATCAGAATAGAGAGAACCGTATCTGGTACGCCTCAACACAATGGTGTAGCTGAGCGTATGAATCGAACGTTGACTGAAAGAGCCAGAAGTTTGCGTGTGCAGTCAGGCCTACCAAAGCAGTTCTTGGCAGAAGCAATCAACACAACAACTTACTTGATCAACCGAAGTCCATCGGTACCATTGGATCACAAGTTAGTAGAAGAGGTATGGAGCAGAAAAGAAGTAAAACTCTCGCATCTTAGAGTTTTCGGGTGTGTAGCATATGTGCACATCAGTGATCAAGGTAGAAACAAACTTGATCCAAAATCAAAGAAATGTACTTTCCTTAGTTATGGTGAAGATGAGTTTGGCTACCGCTTATGGGATAATGAAAACAAAAAGATGATCCGCAGCAGAGATATCATCTTTAATGAAAGAAAGATGTACAAGGATCGGCATAACAGAAGTGTCAGCAACTCAGAAGCGAGTGGGCCAGTTTATGTAGAGGTGGAAGATATCCCAGACATTCCTATAGTAAGGAATCCTCGATCAGAGGAATCAAATGAAGAAAGCGGTGAGCAAGCCGAACCTTCTACTCCAACTCTTGTATTGAGAAGGTCCTCTCGGCCCCATGTGCCTAACAGGAGATACATGGACTACATGTTGTTGACTGATGGAAGAGAACCTGAAGATTATAAGGAGGCTTGTCAAACCCCGTATGCTAGCAAGTGGGAGCTTGCCATGAAGGACGAGATGAAGTCTTTGATCTCGAATCAGACATGGGAACTAGTCAAGTTACCCATGGGAAAGAAAGCACTTCACAACAAATGGGTGTATCGGGTGAAGGAAGACCATGATGGTTCCAGGAGATACAAAGCCCGACTGGTTGTCAAAGGATTTCAGCAGAAAGAATGAGTTGACTATACTGAAATCTTTGTTCCAGTTGTAAAGCTCAATACTATCAGGACTGTGTTAAGTATTGTGGCTAGTGAAGAGCTCTACCTAGAGCAGTTAGACGTGAAGACTGCATTTCTTCACGGAGACCTAGT